GCGCTGTGGCTCATTTGGTTAATCTCCCGCCTGCGTTGCCGGCATCCCATATAGATGCCAGGTTCTAGTCCCGGTTGTTCCTCTTCCACTCTGTCGCTCCCCCTCTTCGTGGAGGAACGACACAGGACCCTGCGTTGTTCTTTCGTCTGCTCGGCCCTCCCCGGGTTTGCTGCTGGTTCTTCCCGGGTTGGCTACCGTCCCTTCCACCTCCGTGGAAGGGCGGTTCCCCCTGCCACTTTTCCCCACTTCCGCGGGGGAGCGGCACACCACCGGCCGGCTCTCTCGGGGGCTGCACAGGTGTTCCTTCAGGTGTTCCCCTTAGATGTTCCTCGTGCATGTTGTCTCTCTCCTCCTTTATAGTCCTCTTCTGCCAATCCCAACTCGGCTGCCCACATGCCGAGTACGCTGCTCTCCTCCAATCAGGAGCAGGATCAGCTCCTGGAGGTCATCACTCAAGTTGGCAAGAGGCAGCTGCGTAGAAGCTGTTTCCTCCTCTCCCAGCGCCATATTGTGGGAGAGCAGATGCATAGAATAAGTCTTAATTCCAGTAACTTAGTCTAGTCCGAGTTGCTCCCCACACACTCCAGCTCTCTGTTATGGCCTGGGAGGGCAGTGGAGAATGGCCCAAGTGTTTGGGCCCCTGCACCTGCACGGGAGACCAGGAAGAAGCACCTGGCTACTGGTTTTGGATTGGCACACTGCCGGCCGTAGCGGCCGTTTGGGGAGTGAGCCAATGGAAGGAAGACCTTTCTCTCTGTCTCTCTCTCTCTCATTGTCTATAACTCTACTTGTCAAATAAATAAAAAAAAAATAGGAAGTGAAAACACTGGGCGTTCTACTGATCTCAGCTGTTGACTTAGTGACTCCAAATATATCTAACAAAACAGTATCTGGGGCTCTCCTGTTCCACACATTTTGTTCCTCTCTCTATTGAGACAGTCACTGTGAGTCTGCTCCACAGAAGCACATTGTGTAATGGCAACTCATCATGTTCAAAGATCTCCAATGGCCTCTCCCTGTCAATAACATAAAGGTTAGCGGCTGGTGCTGCGGCATAGTGGGTAAAGCAGCTGCTTGCAGCACTGGCATCCCATATGGGTACTGGTTCAAATCTCGGCTGCTCCACTTCCAATCCAGCTCTCTGCTATGACCTGGGAAAGCAGTGGAAGATGGCCCAAGTCCTTGGGCCCCTGCACCCACATGGGAGACCCAGAAGAAGCTCATGACTCTTGGCTTTGGGTTGGCGCAGCTCTGGCCGTTGTGGCCATTTGGGGAGTGAAGCAGTGGATGGAAGACCTCTCTCTTGCTCTGCCTCTGCCTCTCTGTAACTCTGCCTTTCAAATAAATAAATACATCTTTAAAACAATAATAACATAAAGGTTAAATCTCTTGCCTGGCATTCAAGGCCTTTTAGACTTTGCCCCAGCCTTGCTGTCTCAGCCATAGCTCTCTTCCACTTGTTACTTCCACTGTTACTGCTGCTCTTACTCTCTCTGGACTCTGCCTGTCAATCATCCCACCCTTCCAACAGTCTACTTGTTGCTATAGTGTCTTCCAAGACATCCAAGCAGTATGTTAGCTCTTTTGTCTCTGAATCCATGCACCTGTCTTTTTGGGGTGGAGGGAGAAAGGAAGCTATTTGTTTGGCATTTGACACACACAGCCTCGTGTGACATCTGTTTGTGGGATAAACCTCTTTCCCTTCCTTGAATGTGTATTTCTCTCTCTCTCTCTCTCTCTCTCTCTCTCTCTCTCTCTCTTTTGACAGGCAGAGTTAGACAGTGAGAGAGAGACAGAGAGAAAGGTCTTCCTTTGCCGTTGGTTCACCCCCCAAGCGGCCACTATGGCCAGCGCATTGCGGCTGGCACGCCGTGCCGATCTGAAGCCAGGAGCCAGGTGCTTCCTCCTGGTCTCCCATGCAGGTGCAGGGCCCAAGGGCCTGGGCCATCCTCCACTGCACTCCCGGGCCACAGCAGAGAGCTGGACTGGAAGAGGAGCAACCGGGACACAATCCAGTGCCCCGACCAGGACTAGAACCCGGGGTGCCGGCGCCGCAGGCGGAGGATTAGCCTAGTAAGCCACAGTGCCGGCCAGAATGTGTGTCTCTGAAGTTGGGCAGGATCCACAGGCAACTGACTTTAAAAAATTTTTTTATTTATTTAGTTTGAAAGTCAGAGTTAGGGCCGGCGCCGCGGCTCAACAGGCTAATCCTCTGCCTTGCAGTGCTGGCACACCGGGTTCTAGTCCCAGTCGGGGCGCCGGATTTTGTCCTGGTTGCCCCTCTTCCAGGCCATCTCTCTGCTGTGGCCAGGGAGTGCAGTGGAGGATGGCCCAAGTTCTTGGGCCCTGCACCCCATGGGAGACCAGGAGAAACACCTGGCTCCTGCCATTGGATCAGTGCGGTGCGCCGGCTGCAGCGCGCCAGCCGCGGCAGCCATTAGAGGTGAACCAACAGCAAAGGAAGACCTTTCTCTCTGTCTCTCTCTCTCACTGTCCACTCTGCCTGTCAAAAAAGAAAGTCAGAGTTAGAGAGAGAGTAGGAGAAACAAGTGAGATCTTCCATCTGCTGGTTCACTCCCCAGATGGTCACAATGGCCAGTGATGGGCCAAGATGAAACCAGAAGTCTGGAGCTTCATCTAGGTCTCCCATGTGGCTAGCAGGGGCCCAAACACTTGGGCTATATTCTGCTGCTTTTCCCAGGCCATCAGCAGGGAGCTGTGTTGGAAGTGGAGCAGCTGTGATAAGAACTGGTGACCACATAGGATGCCTGCGTCACAGGCAGTAGCTTTTCCTGCTATGCCACAACACTGGTCCCACAAATTCATTATTTTAATCATCATTTTCCCTGTGATACCTAACATAGGGGCAGATGAATAAAAATGCTAGAGCCCAAATTGGATTGACCTAAACACATAAGTCCCATAAGATTCTGATCTTTTTATATGTGATTATTTCTAAATATCTTATTTTAAGAAGTCTAGACAGATTTACAAGGAAAAATAAATCTTTTTTTTTTTTTTTGACAGAGTGGACAGTGAGAGAGAGAGAGAGACAGAGAGAAAGGTCTTCCTTTGCCGTTGGTTCACCCTCCAATGGCTGACACGGCCGGCGCGCTGCGGCCTGCACACCGCACTGATCCAATGGCAGGAGCCAGGTGCTTCTCCTGGTCTCCCATGGGGTGCAGGGCCCAAGGACTTGGGCCATCCTCCGCTGTACTCCCTGGCCACAGCAGAGAGATGGCCTGGAAGAGGGGCAACTGGGACAGAATCCGGTGCCCCGACCGGGACTAGAACCTGGTGTGCTGGCTCCACTAGGTGGAGGATTAGCTTGTTGAGCTGCAGCGCCGGCCTGGAAAAACAAATCTTTAAAACAAAGTTTACAAAACAGAAGTTTTGGATAATTGGATCTGACCTGCAGTTGTGTTCTGTAGGTCTAAACAGTGTTTTTTAAAAAAATATTGACCAACTTTTAAAAGTTTGGAGAGTTTAAAAAATCTAAAGAGTTAGGCAACCCAGGTTTGCATTTTCACATGACAGCAACCCATTGTAGCTGAGCAGTCTATTTGCAGAGTCTCTGCTCGCAAGGTTGCCACAGTGCTCACACAGCCCACACATCTCATGCATCTGTTATGAGCCTGGCCATTATAGGAAACTGAATCTGAGATTCTGGGTATAAAGAAAGATAGAGTGAGAGGGAAGAGGACAATAAGGTCAGAATGAAGACCATGCAAGTGTAGATAAACTATTGGAGGAGCATGTCCAAAGAAAATCTGGAGATATAGTTAAAAATATTCAGATGAAGATAATGTACACTGAGGGAAAATGTAATGAAACTCATGTCATCAGGCATGTCACCATCAGCCATTTATTGGGATTGAGTAGCTCACTGTCATTTTCAGGACTTTAACCTCAAAGTCCTAAGTTAGTGATACTTAAGGATGGAAATCCAATGGTGGTGTTTAGATGTGGGGTCTAGTGAAAGGTCCTTGGGTCATTGAGATGTGGCTTCAGAAGGTAATTCTTACAAGTGCTGGTGCTGAAAGCCTGAGTTTGGGCCCAACCACTCTTTCCGCTAACTGGCTTACATGTGGTCCTTGCCTTGCACATGCTCTGTCATTACCAACTGCTGCCCTCACCAGATGCCAAACCAATCGAGCTGTCCGACCCTGGACTAGAACTTCCAAAACTATGAGCTAAATAAACATTTTTGCTTTCTAAAGCTAGTTGCCTCAGGTATCTCACTGTAGCAATGGAAAGCTGACTAATACAATCACTTCAGTGTCTACATGGAAAGGATCAAAAGGAGAAATGCTGCAGAAGCAAAATTCCTAGCCACTAGAACCCTCTCACTCATTGGAGAAGGCCTTGGAGTTGAGGGCTAGACTGTCTTACAATATGGGGAGACCCAGGCTTTTAGAAAGTCTACCAAGATCCAGGTGAGTGCAGCGAAAGCCCACAGGGCAGGGGAGCCCTTGTTTCCCTTATGTGGAAGTTCCTCTGTCTTGAAGCCAACTGATTTCATTCAACTTTGTCCCTTTACCTTGCAGAGAACCAGCCTACTTGGCCACCAGGGGGCCCCGTTGCACACATTCAGAATCCTTGGGGCCACTTGAGACGCTCTTAAGGACTTGTTCCTGTCCTTCAATCTATTTTTAGTGAAAAGTAACCCTGGGATTACTCCAGTCTTGTCTTTGCAAATAAGAAATTTTATACAAAAAAAGAGATTAGAAAAGAAAGGGTGATACAGAAATGGGGACGCTGGAAGCCCAGACACAGGTGAAGAACAGTTTCTAACCAGGTGGCCTTTTCTTTGGATATGACACTCACACCTGCAGTGCGCCTCCCTCTCACTTGCTTCTCTTCCCCACCCTCCCACCAGGCCTCCCTGTCCCTGCTCCCCCCCTCCTCCCTCTGCTGATGGAAGTTAGGTCAACACGGGGGTGGAGGAGATGTTCCAAAGACTCGTCCTGGGGAAAGGACCCTGTGCGTCCCCAGCTCACCCATTTCGCTCTTGAAGGTGTGATCCTGCGGCAGGATGGAGTGAGAGTTCCGAATGCTTCCTCCTCCGACAAACCAGTTCACATTGGGGTTCCAGCGGTTCACAAAGCCACAGAGATGATTTTCTTCAAAGTCACACTCTGCGGGAAGAAACGCAAAAACCCACGTCATAGAGACTCAGTGGCACCTGGGCCTGCCCCGACTCACTGCAGGCTTGGAATTCAGAGGATTCTCTCTTCCGTGCCCACTGTACCATCACTGCTAGGCAATGCTGGCCAAGAAGAATGAAGATTCTTCATTGAATCAAGACTTGAGCTCCCCTGGGGCTGGCATCGTGGTATAGTGGGTAAAGTCACTGTCTGTGATGCCAGCAGCCCATATGGGTGCCAGTTCGCATCCTGGCTGCTCCACTTCTCATTTGGCTCCCTGCTAAGGGCCTGGGAAAAGCAGCAGAAGATGGCCCAGGTGTTTGGGTTCTTGCCACCCATATGGGAGAACTGGGAAAAGCCCAGAGCTCCTGGCTTTGGCCTAACCCAGCCCCCTATCATTACAGCCACCTGAGGAGTGAACCAGCAGATGGATCTCTCTCTCTCTCTCTCTCTCTCTCTCTCTCTCTCTGTAACGCTTTCAAATAAATAAATGAATCTTTCAAAAACATTAAACTCACAGTCATCCTCTAATTTGTGTCTCTTCCACTTCTTAGCCATGTGGTTTGCAGTGTGACTCATCACCTCTGTTGGCGTCTAGTTCTTTATGTGAAATGGGTACACCGTTCCCATTCCCAGCACTGACATGGGTGTGGACAGCTCCCAGTGCAGGGTCAGGTACAAGGTCATGCTCAAGACAAGCTATTTTTGTCAGTTGCCTCTGCTTAAAAACACTATTTAGGATGATGCTGTCAGCACCAGAAAGCTCCCTGCCACCCTTTCTTGAGCCTGGCAGCCCAGTCTTCTACTCACTGCTGCCCTGTGGTGAGCAAGAAGCCCAGAGTCAAGAAGCACGATTCCTGGAGGCTAAAAAATCCCCACTTTTCTTATCAATGAGAACTCAGAAAAGGCAGGGCGGGCAGAGTCCAGGCTATGGGCCCCTTCTGCAGTTATCGAGTGGAGAAGAGACAGAAGGGAAAAAGATGCCCCCACTCCCACTTTAAGCGGCAATGCCATGGCTGCACAGATACATTGTTCCACACCCACAACTCCATTAGTGGGAACAAGAAACTGATAAACCAGGGCCTCCACTGACCCTCATAATCCTGAAGTCAAAAATAGGAGGGATGAGGGTACCCATCATTCACCACTGGCCCCTGCAACCACCCTCTGCCCTCTGCACCTGCACCACCCTCCAGAGGTTGCCCTGAAGGGGTGGATCAAAGGGCTCTCCTGACTTCCAGCTTCCTGTGGTTTCACCACTGGAGGGTGGAAGGAGGATGAGATCAGGGGCTGATTCCCCCAGCGCCGTCTCTGCTGATCACGTAGATTGGCTATGTACCTAGACAGAGTACAGCCCTGTCAAGTAGCCCTCACCATACGGCGACCGTCTCCAGGCTCCAGTAGCTCATCCTCCCTTGCCCCTTCAGACAAAGGAGGGTAACAGCTCCTGAGTCACCACTTGTACTGGGCCTGGGTCACAGTGCTATCCGTCCTGGGTGTAGCACTCACACCTTTGTGGTGTCTTTAATAAGCTCTCTTCAGATCACTCGGGTAGTGTATACCCTGTATCTACCTTCCCACCAGGATCCCAGCTGCCACAGTTATCATTGCGCTGACAATAGCAGGCATTGGGAATTCTCAAGATTTTCATTTCCACCTTTTCCATTGCAGTGTCTGCTAAGCAATGCCCAATGTGCCGTGCCAACGGCTGTCACAGGGCATATTAAAAAGCAAACTGTTCCCCAATGCTCCAAGCACTACTCTGAACACAGTATATGAATTAACTTACTTCATCTTCCAGACAGCCTCAGGAGGTAGGTACTATTATTAACCTCATTGGCAGATGAAGAACAAGAAAAGCAGAGACAGTGCCCAGAAAGAAAGGAGAGGTGAGAAGCAAGTCCACAGAGTTTAGCAAGATAGAAATGTTGACACCTTTTCTGTTATAAACAAACCAGAAGCCGCCAAATCATTTGGAGAAAAGCAATCAGTATTTCTTCAGGGCCCAACCCTGGACCAACCACCTTTATATCCACGATCTCAGTAGTCCTCCTGAGAGTCCAATGAGGGAAGCGTTTTGCGCCCATTTCACAGGTGAAGAAACAGAGGCTTAGAGGCTCAGTGAGTTGACTGAGCCAGCTGTGTACTGTCCATGCCCCACGCACATGCCACATGGAATAAAGACCGGGTGGAGGCGCAGGAAGGGAGCTTGGGCCTAAACTCACCTTGTCTTCAGGAAGCACTTTTCCAGTCTACTTTCTCTCACTTACATCAGAGGCAGCATTGGAAGTCAAGACAGAGAAGTGAGACCCCAGGAATTAGCAAAGGCCTCCCCACATTTTTTGTTTGGAATCATTTTAGACTCCCTGTTCTCCTCTGCACTCCACCTTCAAGTACTGTCAGCGCTCACAGAAGGAGCTTTTTCTGAAAATATGCATGGATATCAAAATTTTTTGCACCAAAATAAACACCTTTTCATTTCATTTCCTAGGAACGTTTTAAGTGCCCTGGTATGCAGACATTGCTTCAGTAGCAGGAGAGGAGAAGGTGAGCAGCCATTGGCCAATATAGTCCTGTCTTTACGCTCTCGAAAGCTAGCACATGAGAGACACCCACCTAACCCCACTCCGGTGGAATAAAAGTGACAGCTGCCACTATGTGGAGAGGGGCAGTAGTATGCCAACAGCAAAATGGAGGGAAGGGGTTCATACAATGCCTGCTTTTCTGGCAGATGCTACCAAAGCCAAGGTTACAGCAATGTGGAAATTATTTTGATAAGAACAGGTTGAGGGTAAGGTGGCAACTCTGTTTATGCTGTCGCATCAACTTTGTTTTCAGGAACCTGCCAGTCCAGGTACATGCTAATGAGCCTTCCTATGCTAATAATTTGCCTATGCTAATGAGACAGGAACACATGCAGCATGTGTTCCTAACCACTCTAACCACTATGAACTCTAACCACTATGCATTACATGCAGTATATTTTGTAAAATACTTGATCTTTGGGATTGATTCAATTAATTCTGGCAACAGTGGACTTTAGAAACAGATTCATGTTCTGATACAATGAAAACAAAACTCACCAAGACAGTAGCCGGTTGTCATCTTGATTTCAAAGAGTGCGATGCTGGCTGTGTTCCCTTGTCCTAGTACACCTTCTATTAAAATCTGCACAACACATGGGGAAGCAGGGGAATTAGACATCTAAACACTAAGTTTCCTTGGGTTAGTTTTCAGGCAGCAGTCAGGAGCTGTTCGGGATTGTTAGTCTTAACTCATTGCTATTGGATACTGATCTCACTAGGGAATTTATTAAAAGAATGTGTGTGCAAGCACATGTGTCCATATGTGTGTGTGCACACATAAATAAGCACACACATGTGGACTCTGAATTTTGAGGAAGGTGTTCAATAGAAGCTCGGAGTCAGCTGTCATCTGTTGTCCCAATGCCGCCTTCTCGAGCGCTGTGGCAGAGCCAGTTGGTCATAGATAGTGAGGAAATTCATACTGAGAATCATCAGGAATGGAAGGCAGAGAATTTGGGGTTAAAAAAAAAAGTCCTTTGGAGGAAAAGGCAAGAAACAGCAAACTGACAGCATGGTGGGAGATCATCTGAGACAGAGGAGGCTCGTAAATTGTTTCTGAATTAATGAAAACATTGACGTTTTCACACAATGGACAAAGAGATGCCTGGATGACTGTCGGGGTTGTTACAATGCATGCGTAGTCTTGTGTCTGAAAGTTATAGCGTTTCCTTACGTGGTTTTAGCCTGATAGCTTGCAACTAAGCTGGTAGATTTGGGATGTGATAACCATTGGGAGGACGTTGTGAAACAGGAAACTCAGACGCCAATCCTCCTTCCCTCAGCTACCGCCCAGCAGAGAGGGACACCAAACAGAGAGGGGCTAATGGGAGAGCGCGGTATTTCAAAACTCTCCCAAGAAGAGGGACAGGGCATGAATGGAAAAGTAAACTAGGGGGGCTGTCACTGTGGAGCAGTGGGTTAACGCCCTGGCCTGAAGTGCCGGCATCCCATATGGTGCCAATTCAAGACCCGGCTGCTCCACATCTGGTCCAGCTCCCTGCTAATGTGCCTGGGAAAGTAGCAGAAGATGGCCCAAGTCCTTGGGCCCCTGCATCCATGTGGGAGACTTGGAAGAACTCCTGGTTTCAGATCGGCGCAACTCTGGCCATTGCACCCATCTGGGGAGTGAACCGTCGGATGGAAGATCTCTCTCTCTCTCTGTCTCTCCTCTCTCTGTGTAACTCTGACTTTCAAATAAATAAATAAATAAATAAATCTTTAAAAAAAAAAAAAAAAAGTAAAGTGAACTATGGATGGAGAAAGTTTTTGCGATGATTCTCGCAAAACCTCACACCTCATGGCCACGAATGTCCAGATCCCAGCCTCTCTCCCTACTGCAATCCACACCCGACTTTGTCTCACATTCTCTACCTTCTGGTGAAGCAATTTCCCTTTTGAAAAGGAAATAGAACATGACCTTTAAGTATCTTTCCTCTTTCAAAGTATTTCCATTTTTCCTCTTATTGCTGTTAATGCTTCGTTCAAAAGTTGTAGCAAATAAACCATTAGGAAGATAACATAGACACATATCCAACCCAATTTAGAAGGGTGCAACAAAATGATTAGAAATGAGAATATTCCCCTAAGCCTGTTAGAAAATCCATTTCCTTTGAAGAGGTTGGTTTAAGGCCCATTTAGGTTGTTACAGAAATTCCATTTAAATGGATGGGAAAGAAATCTCTGAAGAGGCTCTTTCACAGAATACACAAGCTATAAATTTCCATTGCTAATATTCTTCTATGATTTGTCTCTTGTGAAACATCACATCCCAGTGCAGGACACAACTCACCTCAATGACACAGTTTTCATAAGATCTCAATCAGTATAAACCACACATAATAAGCCCTGCACCTGCTTCCTAAACTCCACCTACCTTGAATTTCTTGGGACTGTTTTGTAAATCCAGGCTGGCTATGAGCCAGCTATCAGAAGGTTCCCTAGCCGACCAAAGCAAGCGATCAAAGCTTTCGTCTTCAAATCTCAAGTAGAGGTTCAGCTGGCTGGGATCTGATAGAAGCTCTGACGACGCGGTTATCTGGTAGACCAAGCGGAGGCAGCTCCATTCCTCAGCCTGCAAGTCCGAACTTAGCAGCACGGCTTTCTCCCCCTGCTTGGCAAAGGAGGTATCCACATAAATGTAATGGCCTGGGAAGAGAAAGGAACACAGGCAAGGAGTGGATCTTCTTCTTACAACTAGGAGAAAATGCACAACTGTGGTAAACCTATGGGCAGATGGGGCCTGTGAGCGCCTTGTGTCAACCCACTGATGTCAACCCTGGGCAGCTACAAAGTATGGCGGCACCGAGGCCACTTTCCCACATGACAACGCCAGGCTGGAGCAGAGCAGCGCTGCTTCTGCAGAGGGTGGCACGTGCTCTCCATTTTGCCATCATCCCATCACTCAGTACTAACGACAGGCATGGAAGCCAGGTGTCTGCTGCCTTGAGTGATCTCACACCCGGCCCACTTAGCACACTGCATTCACCTCGCTGTCCCCACAGGCAGGGGAGTTTGCGAGCTAAGAGGCATGCGAATCAGAATAACCTGATGGCCTCAAAGCTTCTCCTTCCAGAGCTCTCCTCATCTCTGATGCCTCAACCTGCATGGAGCTTACGTCATCAGTGCAGACTGAATGGATGTGGTCACCCCAGCTTGGATCTTGGGGTGTAGGCAGAAAACATTCATAGTAAGCCATGATTTTAAAAGTAGGAATAAGGCTCCTTTTGTAGACTTTTTTCTTTGACGAAATCTCATAGCTAGGGCAAGTTAATGGGCAAACTGTGCAAAACATGCAGCACCCGGGCTTGGAAAGGAGTGGCTACTCTGGGATTGGCACTCAGCACATCTTCCACTTCCTCTGCCCCTGTCTACTCCCAGTCCTCCTCTTCCCCTTGCTCCTCTCTCTGCCTTCCCCTTTAACCACCACCATACTCTCTTCCTCCTCTTCCAGTTTTTACCTGCTCTGTATTCTCCTTCCTGCCTCCTTCCTTCTTTCACCTTCCTAAGGTTGGCAGGTAGTGGAGGCATCCTGCTTGCTGCCCCAGGATGTGCATCAGCATTTTGATGAAAAAGGGGCTGGGGTAGGCACTGAAGCCAAGGACCCTAACCTGAGCCTTCCAAATCAGCTTCCTATGTGAGTGGTCCCACAGCCTGGAGTTGTTTGGGTCCTCGTGTTCTTTTGGACTGCAAACTCTGTGCTTGCTCAAAGACATTTGTGAATGGTATTTAACCTCTTGTCTCCCATCGTGTGGCTGCCCATGCAGTTTGGGCTCCCCCTCACTAAAGGCTTAGCAGAAAGGCCTTGAAATGTCTCTCTGTCTTGCATGGTGCTTGTCAGCCCCTCCCCCACCTTGGCCCAGATGTCCACTGCAGCCAGGATCCTTGTCTCTGTGGCGGGCACTGATGGGCCAGCTGCAGCCCGGCCAATGACTGTCTTCACATTTGGGGCACAGTTAGGGCATTGTCTTCAGGAAGCCTGGCTTGCTGGGTTTCAAGATCCAGATCTCCAGCTGGCAATCTGCTTAACACAGCAACCGCCCACTGGGTGCAAATAGTAACTGCTCTCGGATGTCAACCCAGGCACCCCCAGGGGGGAAATCTGGTCCTTGCAGCAACTGCCAGCACAGTGCCGCCATTGCCTCTTACATGCTGAGAACATTCAGCGAGGAGCCAGGCTTGCGCTGAGTGTTTCCTGTGCATCTACGGGCGGGGGGACCGGCTGGGCTTAAAGTTAAGCTGGGACTCCTAATGCAACTCGCTTTGGAATAAAACTGTATCAGCACCATCCCCTCTCCTCACTTTGCTATGGACCCCAAAGAAAAGACTCTCAGTTGACTAGTATGGGGTAGGGATGCTCTTGAGAGTACTTCATACCAGAGCGTTGGGGCTTGGGGAATACAAGAGGAAAAGAAACAAAGAGAGTCCTAGCAACATTCACATTGCATACCAACTTTGCTCCCTTAGTTTTCCATGGGATGCCTCCCCAGCTTCTCTCTCTCTCCTTCTTTTTCCCGCTCTAAAGAGGAGCAACTCCATTCCCAGCAGTGGTTCTCAAACTTGAGCCCAGGGTTACCTGGAGGGCTTATTCAAACACAGATTGCTGGCCCTTCCTCATGAGTTTCTGGGGAAGACTCTGTATTAAAAAATCGTTTGAGAGGCAGAGAGACAGACACAGAGATCTTCCATCCACTTGCTCATGCTCCAAATGCCCTCAACAGTGTGGGCTGGGGCTGAGCTGAGCTGGAACAAGGAGCCAGGATTGCAATCCAGGTCTTCCACTTGGGTGGCAGAGACTCCATGATGTGAGTCAACACCACTGTCTTCCAGGGTGTGCACTCGTGGGAAGCTGGAGTCAGGAGCTGGAGCTAAACCCAGGTATTCTGGTGCAGGATGCAGGCATCGGAACTGCTAGGTGAAATGTCTGCTCCCTGGTGCTACATTGCTAAGAGGCTGCATTTCTGAGAAGTGCTGGTCTGGAGACCACACTTCGGGAACCACTGACAATGTCTGGCAGAGAAACAGGGCTCATTCGCTCGGCACCTCTACCTATCAAAGAAAACAGGCTACTGCAGCATGTAAAGGAGGGAGGAGAAAGTTCTCCTTGAAGGTGAAACTCAAACTTCAGTAAATATGTATTACAGCAGGCATACAGAACCCATCCAATGGTAGTTGTCTTGACTTGTCAGTAAGTGCCATATGTGAAAGCTCTCTTGACATCACTTGTCACCATATCAGATTTTACATTAAACATATGCTCTTGTTCTCTTTCCAAGAATCTTTGCGATCACACGCTGTATAAAATGCATTATTTAAAAATACCTTGCTATTATACTGTATAATGAAAGTTGGTGCTATTTATTGAGTGATTTTGACATCTCAGACATAAATGTTGGCTACTTCAATGACGGAATTTTGCATTTAAATTAAAGACTTCAAATTCGTTTTAGGTCATGCCCTATGAATGTGCCTATTAGCATCTTTATAACACATGTGAAAGTTTCTCAACTCAACTAAAACTCAGTGGAATAATAAATTTTCTTAGGTCATATAACTAACCCAAGTGCAATCCACCTCCACTGCCACTACCAAGTTGATAAGTTTTTTTCTTTCCTTCTTTCTTTCCTTCTCTCTCTCTCCCCTCCCTCCCTCCCTCCCTCCCTCTCTTCCTTCCTTTCTTTTCTTTTCTTTTCTTTTCTTCTTTCTAGATTTTTTTATTTGAAAGGCAGAGTTACAGAGAGGGAAAGAGATTTACTTCCATCTACTGATTTATTCCCAAAATGGGTGCAATGGCCAGGGCTGGCCCAGGCTGAAGCCAGGAGCCTGGAATTCCATCCAGGTCTCCAATGTGGGTGGCAGGAGTCCAAGTACTTGGGCCATCCTCCACTGCTTTCTTAGGTACAACAGTAGGAAGCTAGATTGGAAGTGGAGCTGGACTGGAAGTGGAGCAGCCGGGACTCAAACCAGTTCTCATACGGGATGGCAGCACCACAGGCAATGGCCTAATCCACTGTGCCACAACACCAGCACCCCAAATTTTCTTAATCACCTTTTTTTCCAGTCTAGATACAGCCCCAGAATCCTTCCAACAATCTTCCTTGTTGCCAGCACTAATTAATCTGTGGGGAAACTTGAGTTGAAAGCATCTGTCATCCCTGCTTGGCTGCAGTGACTTTCATACTAGGGAGAGATCCTACCGACCTAAGGAGGGTGGAGAGTTCAACTGGAGAGAAGCATTATGGAGGTAATGTGCATGGGAAAGCCACGCAACATGGGAGGTTTGCTCAGTTACAGAAAGAGCCCCCTGCGGATAAGAAGCCCCTCAAGGTTCCTGGGCCCCCTCTCTCTCTCATCAGCACTCAGGGCTCCTCTCCTGCCTTTGCTCCTGTCCCCCTCCAGGGCTCACGCTCTGCTCCGGCTGTGGCCGTGCCTTCCCTGACCTGTGCCACTGCTACCTCAGAGCCTTTGTTCATGCTCCTGCCCATGTCGGCAAGACCTGTGTCACCTGCCAGAAGAGTACGCGTCTCCCAGGTCTCAGTCCCACTGCGAAGCCTTCCCCAATTACTCTGACCCCTGCTCACTCCTCAGGAGCTTCCTCTTTCCACTCCACCGCCTCTTACACCCAGGAATTCTGGAAGCTAACTGGAGTCACAATGGTTTTTTTCCCCCCTCACCTTACATGTATTGCAACTACTCCAGCATGAACTCCATTGTAATCCATACTATTTAAAGTAACATAGTCTCCTTTTTTTCTGGGTAGGAAATGGAAATACTTAACCCTTGCCTTGGTCCTTTTCAGGTTTGTGTCTGCGCCCTGGGCTGTTGGTGTGAGAAGGGCCGGGAGGACATGAAGGTGTGTTAGGGGAGTTTGGGAAAGAGGACATTCCTGTATTGGGCCATTGTGATTGGAGAGAAGCAACCTGGGAGACACAGGAAGAAATGAGCAAGACCTGTTAGAGGAAAGGACTGGAATAGGTTTCCAGGGACAGCCTTTAGGAGTTAGTACAGCTTGTTCAGTGGGCTGGTGGCTGGGGAGTCTGTTACTACAACTAAAGTTGTGTGGCCCGTGGCAGGGATCACTGACCATCCTAAGCTCTGAAAAGAGAACGTGAGGGGTGGGCGTTGGCCACTTGCGGTGCCCATGTCCCATATCAGAGTCCCTGGATTTGAGTCCTGGTTCCATTTGGGATCCAGTTTCCTGCTAATGCACACCCTTAGAGGTAGCAGGTAATGGCTCAAGCAGCTGGGCCTTTGTGACCCACATAGGAGATCCAGATTGAGATCCTGCTTCCTGGCTTCAGCCTGGCTCAGCCCCAGTTGTTGTGGACATCTGGGGAGTAAACCAGCAGATGGAAGATTTCTCTCTTTTTCAAATAAATAAAAATTTGAAAATAAGATTATGTGAAATAAATGCACACATCCAAAAGGCAATCTCACCCACATTAGCAGTCATTCCCCTTTGTCCCTGGTTACCACTACTCTACCTTCTAGCTACATGAATTTGCCTATTTTGGAAATTTCATGGAGGTGGAATCATCAATATCTGGCCTTTTGTGACTGGCTTTTTCAGTTTGCATAATGTGTTCAAGGTCCATCCACGTTGCAACACGTGTCAGACTGCCTTTGGTTTTTGAAGCTGGATAAGATTT